TCTCTCATTCTCTCTCTCTCAAATAAATAAATAAAATCTTTAAAACAAAAAAAATAGCTGATAATGGGGCGCCTGGCTGCTGAGTCAGTGGAGCATGTGACTCTTGATCTTAGGGTTGTGAGTTCAAGCCACACATTGGGTGAAGAGATTACTTAAAAATAAAATCTTAAAAAAAAAAAAAAAGAGTATCTGGTAATAATAGTGAAAGCCACTTTTCTAAAGTGAATCTCTGGCAAGTAGAATCTTATTTTCCATACTTTTTTTGTGTGTTCTCTTTTACCTTTGGTAAAAAATATCAAGGTGGCTGAGGTGTTGAAAATTGAGATACATAACTGTGTTAGGTAGCATCAAAGAATTTGAGTATCCCCAAGTGAGAAACACCTTTATAACATTTCTTAGACAAAATTTAGTAGCCAATTCGGTAAAAATAATTTTTGGTAAAATTTTATACCATAGCCAGAATACTTGTATGTGAAGGAAAGGCTATGTTTAAGTTCATTGTCATTTTAACACAAAGAGAATTTGTACAGTTTATTTTCCAAATATTTACTTGATGATTAAGATCTATAATATAATAGGAGTTTGAAGATTTTATGAGGTTGACTTAGAATTTAAAATGTTATAATATACTTAAACATTAATTTTATGTTAAAATTGACCCATAGCTGTTCTTTGGCTTGGGAAAAGGAGTAGGGACTGAAAGATAAAGGTGATGGATGTATTTCAAGTGGAACCTAACTCAGTATTAAAATCTTTACTCTTGTTTTAAAGAAAACTTACTGATTTCATTGCTGCTACATTTGAAGACCTGTTTTTCTTCTTCAGACTCCAGTGGTTCTCTGGGAGTTTCTGGCTTGGCTTATATCCCTAGTTCTATGAATTGTTACATTCCTTAACGGTAAAATACTGTCCTAGCAAGATGGTGCCTTGAAGATCTACTTGGAGGGTTTGGTTTTTTCTTTCCTCCCCCCCCTTTTTTTTCCTTTTTCTCTTTTTTTCTTGGCAGCAGCAGGCACCATTTTGTCTAATGAAATCTTATACAGAATCCTACTGTAGGGAATAAATGGAAGTGCAGCTTCTCTAATGAGAGGGAAAGTTGGTATCTGAGGTCCCGTCTGTTGGCCTCTTCCGTCCCTTGTCTTATAGATAAGCATCGGAGGCCAAGGGAGGGTAAATTATTCAGAATTATGTAATTGTTTAACTAGGAAACAAGGTAAAGATCATCTCATGCAGAGGTTTTTACTTTTTTCTGCCTCCATATGGTGGAAGCTTCCCTCCCCCCATAAACAAAGGAAAGAAAGTAAGCCTGGTGAGAATCACACATCTAGTTCAGCCATTTAGATGAAGGATCTGAAGCCCCCAGGGAGGAAGTGACCTGACCCGACTGTAGCAGCACTGAGCTGTGGATCCACTCTGGATGTTGCCGCTTTATACGGCTCTGCCTCAGACTCTAGCCCAGGGCAGAGTGTGGTGTGGTCGTTCTTTATTAATTTCTGATTCAGAAGTAGAGGTCGTATCTTAGTCTAGTCAGTGGTTACTCTTTGCCTCTTTAAATGCTGAAGTTGATAGAAAGAACAATATGATTGGAAATTGGGACATCAGGTGCCATTCCAGAACACTGACTTAAAGGCCTGTCTCCAAATTTGTAAATAAATTTGCTGTACAGGACACCCCCTAGTGGCCAAGTTTCACAACTACAACTTACGTTGCCTTACATCTGCGCCTGCATTCAGAATCCCTGCCTTAATGAGCCCCTGCTAATGATGATGGCTAACCTCAGGTATATTAAGATGTTTTTTAAAAAAGGATTGAGAATCCCTGTTTTAAGCATTTCTTAAAAGATACTTTTTTTACTAGTTGGATTTTTAATAAATTGTCTTTTGGTTCTAGGTAGGATTATTAAACCTAACTATGAAGTTTCATTTTAATGTCAGTATGGACAGCATTTAATGTCAGTATGGAATCATTTCCCTGAAGAACAGTGAGTGTGGTAGATTTTTCAAACTAGCTAAGTAATCCTACTACATCTAAACCACCGTTCTACCTCCAAACAATTTCTATTTTCTGTAATATAAATGCCTGATGGATTTTCCATGTAAAATTTGCTATAGGACATTTTTATATAATTCTGAAATATTTCATACATATTTGTAAGCAGAGATAGAACTTTTAATAAAGTTATTCAATTTAATTTCTTTCAGCTTCTACTTATTTTCATCTCCTTATACTCTTAGGCGGTCATTTGTTAGAAGAAAAATGTATGTTACATAGACTTTGTTCACTTAATTAATGTGAAGCCAAATCATAAAGCATCAAGGGGATAGTGGTAAAGTTCCAGAAAAGGATAATTTTCTGCTGATGGCCTTCTTCTTAGAGACTTCCATTACTAATATTCTGTTGTGTAGCTGATACAACCATTCAATTAGCGTTATTTCTGATGGCAGGTAAGGTGCCTGCCTACGAACTGGGATTTGTTAGAAGTCCTACCTGTTGAAATAAATATTGTTGTCTCTTCTCTTCTCTTCCCTTCTTCTCTTCTCTTCTCTTCTCTTCTCTTCTCTTCTCTTCTCTTCCCTTCCCTTAGCAGTTGCAGACTTGCAAAGGATGTTCCCCACTCCTCCTTCCTTGGAACAGCACCCTGCATTTTCTCCTGTAATGAATTATAAAGATGGAATCAGTTCAGAGACAGTGACAGCATTAGGCATGATGGAGAGCCCTATGGTCAGTATGGTTTCAACACAGCTCACTGAATTCAAAATGGAAGTAGAAGATGGATTAGGAAGTCCCAAGCCAGAGGAAGTAAAGGTAACTGCCAATATATTAATTTTATCAAGGCAGGGTGTTTTTTAAGCAGATTCACATACATCTTCAAAATAGTATTATCTGTATGCCATGTATACATAAGTTTCTAAGAATCCTCTGAATTGGATCATGAGGTACATTGCTTGGTATATTAACTATGGTGTCTTGATTAATTTAAAATTTTGGTATTAGCATTTTCTGCTGATTAGATGAGAGAGATACTGAATTCCAGTCATTTTTGTTATTGTTGTGGTGTGTCCTAAGTTGTTCACCGGCATTATCACTGGCCTCCCCTTTGTTGTCCCAGGACTTTTCATATGTGCACAAAGTTCCAGCCTTTCAGCCTTTTGTGGGATCCTCCATGTTTGCTCCACTGAAGATGTTGCCGAGCCAATGCCTGCTACCTCTGAAGATCCCTGACGCCTGTCTGTTTCGGCCTTCGTGGGCAATCCCTCCGAAAATTGAACAACTGCCCATGCCGCCTGCAGCCATTTTCAATAGAGATGGCTACAAGTACGTGCAGGGACCGCGTCATGTTACCTGCCCCATTGAATGTGGTGTTGATCTTAACCAGATATCTACTTAAAATGATGACATCAGCATAGCATTTGAAACTTTCCTTTCTTGGCCATTCATGCTTTTGTGCACATTATTTTGTGTTGAAAATGTGCATATTTTCTAACTAAATTTTATGTACACGGGTAAACTAAGGTTATTTGCATAGCCAACCGTGGTGTTCATGCTCATTCAGCATCAGATGCATGTCTACCACAGAATCAAACACTAGATTGGAGTTGGTAATATTATTTGGATAGTGGTGGTATTTGGTTTATATATTGGTGATCCCAAATGTGCTTACTTCAGGCACTTTAAAATCAAGTGTTAGCATGGACATTTTCTCTGTTGATGACCCCATGTCATATAAGAAAGCAGCAATGGGTGGTATGATACGGAAGAAGGAAAAGGAGGTGTTTATCGTAGCTTGGGCACATATCACTCTATCAAAAAACAGTAGTTTGTCACAATGTAGATTCAGTTTCCCCTATGATTAATAATTTCTTAATAAAATAAATGCTTTAAAATATAAGGCCATAAACTCAAATTTCTGTCAGGACCAGGTAAACAATGTGGGGATGACATGGGTTGGGGAAAGCAAAAGATTTGGCACCACTGATGGTCACTGTCATCCTGAGGGACAGTAGGAAAGAGCAGTTTGATGGAACTGTTAGGAGTATGCCTTACTCATCTATTCATTCATTCATTCACCGATCCATCCATCCATCCATCTATTCATTTTTTAGAAGATTTTATTTATTTATTCATGAGAGAGAGAGAGAGGCAGAGGGAGAAGCAGACTCCCTGCTGAGCAGGGAGCCCGATACGGGACCGCATCCCAGGACCCTGGGATCACGACCTGAGCTGAAGGCAGACGCTTAACTGACTGAGCCACCCAGGCACCCAAGAGTATGCCTTATTTAAAGGGACTGTTTGCTATGCAATTACAGTGTATTGTTCAGGCAGGAATGCAGGAGACTGGAGTTCTGCACTTTTATGTAAATGTCCTTTTTAAAAATGTTGGTAGCTAATTCAGAGTTACATTTTAGGAGCCAATAAAACAATAAGACAAATTCCAGATCCAGTCTGTGGGCTATATTTGTGACATCACATAAAACCCATCTTGACAAAACCAACTTTAATGTCATAAACAGGCTTTCTGCGTAGGTATGTAGAGTCAGTGTTGGAATGTGAAAAACTGTGATAGAGTGTAGGATAAAAGAACCCAGTCTTGGGGAGGTAGAGCTGTGCTGTCATAGGACTCCATTCCTGCCTTTTTTTGTTTACTCCTGTGTATGACCTTAAATGACCAGCTTACCTGAGTCTTTCCCTTCTTTAAAATGGTATGATCCTGCCTGACTTCCTGCACAAGATTTTTGAAAGGTTCCAATGGTTGTGGAAATATTGTGGCAATAACAACTCACCAGCAGGAGGAAAGAATGTGCTCAGAAGTACCCTGGTGGTGATCCCTGGGCTTGTTTTCGGCTGCCGTGCTCCAGTTGTACCTGAGCTTATTTAAGTAGGGACTGATCTAGTCCAGCGGAGCTGATAAGCCCAGAAGGGTTGCCACACCATTCTCATCCAATGCAGCAGCTCCAGGAACCCATTTGACAGTTGAATTTCTTATACACGGAGACTCCTCAAAAAAGTGACACGCAGCCTTTGCTGTATGATAGTTTAAATAATAAATAAATAATTTAGACCATTGTTTAGATGTATTAAATCTATCCCTTGCCATCCCAAAGATCCTTGGTATTCTCAACTGGCGCTGTTAAGAACTTTCTTTGATGAAGGAAGTGTTTTGTATCTGCACCTTCCAATATGGTATCCCTGCCCTGATGTTGTAGCTGTGCATCTCTTAAAATGTGGCTAGTTGAGACCAAGGCTGAATTTTTAGTTTTATTCATTCATTCATTCATTCATTCATTCATTTATTTATTTTTAAAGATTTTATTTATTTGACAGAGGCACAGCGAGAGAGGGAACACAAGCAGGGGGAGTGGGAGAGGGAGAAGCAGGCTTCACGCAGAACAGGGAACCCGATGCGGGGCTCGATCCCAGGACCCTGGGATCATGACCTGAGCCAAAGGCAGACGCTTAACTGACTGAGCCACCCAGGTGCCCCTAGGCTGAATTTTCAGTTTTATTTAAGTTGATTTAAATTTAGCACATAGGGCTAGTGATAACCCTATTGGATAGCACAATTCTAGACTATGTGAGTTCCTTCTGCTGGGGTCTCCCATCACCTTGGCCACCCCTTTGTCACACTCAGCACACCAGCGCTCACTTGTTCGACATCTGTCATACTTGCTGTGAGCTAACTTTTCTTCCCCTTTTTTACTGTTGAATACCCAGCACCTAGCATAGTGTTGGTACTCAGTTCATTTTATTGAATGGGAAAAATCAGGTTACTATACAAGCTAAACCATTCTTATTACCTAGGGAGCAATTTAATTATTTAGGTTTTCATTTAGTAGTCATAGTTCCTTTTCTGATCTGAACTGTATAATAATTTCAGGGTTTTGTCAAACAGGAAAATTTGAACGGAGTCCAATTAGAGTAAAGATCATTATTACACACTTATTATTTTGGTCTCTGAGGTAGCAGTGATTGCTAATCAAGGTTTCTGGATCATTTTTTATCTGTACTCAAAGATACCACTGTGCTTCAGATTTAGTTTCTTTCTAGTGCTTGATTTGGGTTTTTTGAGCTGGTAGTTTAGGTATAGCTAGTTAAAAATCACAAGAAAATTATTTGAAGAGCCATTACTTTATGACATTCTTCTTCCAAATTATAAGTGAATGAATATGTAGTTTATTGGAAGAACATTAGTTTAAGCACAGTATTAATAGATTTCAAAAGAATATTAAGCATTAGATGAAATCTGTATTCTTTTGATACCTTCAAATTGGAAAGAATGGTCTCATTTGCTGTTTCACATGTACATTTAAGAATGTATATAAAAAACTTTTTTACAATAATAAAACAGCAAAACATTGTAGGCACTGTTTTGTTTTCTGTGTGGCTATTCCGAAAAGAAGGCATTGCTTATGAAAAAATAGATAACACAATGTGATCAGTCTGTGGGAACTAAAAATAATTGTGCTATATATAGGTAATGCATAGCATATTGAAAATTTAAAATGAACTAAAATTGCCTACCACCCCACAGAAATCTGTTAGAAGTTTGGAAGCTATGATACAATATGTGTACTGTGCAATTCATCTAATTAATACTAAGGTCTCCCAGCTACGTATGTGATGTTGGTATTAATTGTAGTGTACTGGCCAATGGGTTTCCTACAGTTGAATTCCTTCATGGTCACTCAGTACTGTAAAAATGCAAGCCTAGATAGGACTGTGCTTTGAAAATTAGAAAAATGGCAAATGTTCCTATGTGTTTGATTATAACTGCTTTAGATTCATATATGGATTATGGCCTCAGAGGACAGGTACAGTGGCCGACTTTCAATTTTAAAAAATGACCAAAATGTAATTGCAGATTAGATGGAAATTTTATCCTGTGGTCTTCTAGCTACTTTAGCGTCTGAACTCATGTGTTAAAGTTCCACTTACCGGTTATAGTTTTTCAAAACTACATTGACCAAACCCAGCACCATGTTTTCTTATAAGAACAGTAAAGTTCCCTTGAAAGAGTAGGATGAAGATTGCTTAGATGTGGAATAAGTAGAAGGAAAATGGTGTATTACTCTTGGTGTATGGTGTATTATTCTTCATACCTTGCTTCTTGCTTTCCCATCCACTTTTATTGACTCCTTTGAGTCCTTTTTTTCTTTTTTAAGAAAAAATTGACTATACCTAGTGGTAGCCTGCATAAATGGTAAGAACTGCACAGGCCAGGTGGGGTAATTGTGTGTGTATTCCAGCTTCTCTGACATGCACCCATTCCCGTTTGGTACTGTCTGTTGCAGTAATGTGCCTAGTGTCGGGAGCCTAGCAGACCCAGACTACCTGAATACACCACAGATGAACACTCCGGTGACGCTGAACAGCGCTGCCCCAGCCAGCAACAGTGGAGCAGGAGTTTTGCCATCTCCAGCAACCCCTCGCTTCTCTGTCCCCACACCACGAACCCCCAGGACCCCAAGAACTCCCAGAGGTGGGGGCACTGCCAGTGGGCAAGGGTCGGTTAAATATGATAGCACCGATCAGGGGTCACCAGCCTCCACCCCCTCTACCACGCGGCCCCTTAACTCTGTGGAGCCTGCCACCATGCAGCCCATTCCTGAGGCCCACAGTCTCTACGTCACCCTGATTCTCTCAGATTCTGTGATGAATATCTTTAAGGACAGAAACTTCGACAGCTGTTGCATCTGTGCCTGCAACATGAACATCAAAGGGGCCGACGTCGGGCTCTACATCCCCGATTCTTCCAACGAGGACCAGTATCGCTGTACCTGTGGGTTTAGTGCGATCATGAATCGCAAACTTGGCTACAATTCGGGACTCTTCCTGGAAGATGAGTTGGATATTTTTGGGAAGAATTCTGATATTGGTCAGGCTGCGGAGAGGCGCTTAATGATGTGTCAGACTACCTTCCTCCCTCAGATGGAGGGAGCCAGAAAGTCCCAGGAGCCGCCTATAAGCCTCCTCCTCCTCCTCCAGAATCAACATACACAACCTTTTGCTTCTCTGAGTTTCCTGGACTACATTTCCTCTAACAGTCGCCAGACTCTTCCCTGTGTAAGCTGGAGTTATGACCGGGTGCAAGCAGATAACAACGATTACTGGACGGAATGCTTTAATGCCTTGGAGCAGGGCCGCCAGTATGTGGATAATCCCACGGGTGGAAAAGTAGATGAAGCTCTGGTGAGAAGTGCCACTGTGCACGCTTGGCCTCACAGCAATGGTACGTTTCCCAGAACACATGTCTGCTTTGAAAATTATCTTGGTGTGATGGTAAATTATAAACTTTCTTTACTTTGTTATAGGACAGAATTTTAAATTTCATTTCTTAAAAAAAAAAAAAGAACTAAAGTTAAGAGCTCTGTGGATAATCTTAAATCTAAGGACTGGAGCAATGTTATATCGAAACACCGTTTGAGGAGACTGTTTTGTGAAAACTCCTTCTCATATTAATTCCTACAGGCAGTTCCCATGGGAAACTTATGACTGCTACGTATCTGCATCGATGAGAGTACACAAATAGTTTGCACACCTTGCATGTTTAAATCCACCCATTCTAGATCAGTCATCCATGATACTTCCTCATGAAGCCTTCTACCCATTTCCAGAGCATTTTCTCCTTCCTTTGCTTTTCCAGTGTCTTGCATCTCTTATAACAATGATAATAGTTTACTTTGTGTTGTGGTTCCTGAGGCATGTCACTGGCTCTTCTATTATTAAAAGCTCCGGTTGATAAATAATCTGTGATGTTGAGCTCTTAAGCGAGCCATGCAACTTGCTGTTCCCTTCCCTTATTCATTCACTATTTATACTGTGATGCATCCTGGGGGATAAAATGACTGAAAGAGACAAGGCACCTCTCTGAGGGACTTTCTAATCTGTTCTGGAAGATGGACATCAGATTAATCAAATAATTATACAAATTAGCATATTATTAGGGTAAACCGTTATAAGCGATGAAAGCGTGGGGTGGGAGGGCCTTCCTAGGCTGGGGATCGGGGAAGACCTCCTTGAAGAAATAGTAACATTAGAGATTTCAGTGCCAAGTACAGAGTAACTGGCTAAAGAGGGTAGAGAGCAAGGAATTGTGCCCCAGGCAGAAGGAGCAGCAAGGGGGAAGGCCCAGAGTTACATAGAGCTTGGAGCTTTGAAAGACCTGAAGGACTCTGTTTCAAATAAACAAATCTCTCTCTTTTTTTTTTTTTTTAAAGGGGGTTGTTACCTGGGTGGTTCAGTCGGTTAAGCATCCGACTCCTGATTTCGGCTCAGGTTATGATCTCAGGGTCATGAGATCGAGCCCTAAGTTAGGCTCTGCGCTCAGTGGGGAATTTGCTTGAGATTCTCTCCCCTTCCCCCTCTTCTACGCCGTCCCCCCCCCCAATAAATAAATACATCTTCAAAGAACTGAAGGAAGCTTGGTGGAGCTGGCTAGATTCCCAAGAGCCATTTGAGACCTGCTGGGGCTGGGAGCCCTAACAAGTCATTGATGGGTTTATGAAGAGGCATTGACATCTGATTTGTGTAGTTAAGAAACAAATAAGCTCCGACTGCAGTGTAAGCTGTGGATGTGGAAATGGCAGGAATGGTGGAGAAACGAGGGGGTTAGTACAGTGGCTCAAATAAGAAATAATAGCTTGGTTTCTTGTCTTAGCAAAGGAGATGGAAAAGAAGTGGAAACATTCAAGAGATGTTGAAGAAGTAGTCGGACTGCAGGACTTGGTAGTGGGTTGGATTTTAGGGGTCACAGAGAGCGAGATGTTAAGACACCTGGGTTTGTGACTTGTAAACCTGGACAGATAGTGATGTCGTTCAAAGATAGGTGTACTGGAGGAAGACCAGGTCTGGGGAGAAAGCTCCCTAAGTTGAATTTTGGAAATTTTAAAGATCTCTTCTGAGATATCCAGGTAGAGATGTCAAGTAGACACTTAGGACTTCACGGGCCTGCAGCTCAGGGGAAAGGGAGTAGTTGGCTTGTAGATACTCAAGTCAGGGGCACAGAGGAGGAGGAAAGCTCACTGAGGAGGAGGAAACCTAGAACGACAAGAGGGCTTGGGACAGTTTTGCTGAAATCTATGTAACCAAGTTTCAAGAAAGAGAAGAGTAAGTGGTCAAGAAGCATTAAAGTGCTGCTGAGCTTTTAAGAAGAGGATTAAACATACCTTTGGTCATGGTGAGGAGCTGCTTCTGTAGAGAGGTGGGAACAGGTTGGGCTGGTGTGGTCGGTTACATGAATGAAACATGGACCTTGCTCTGAACAGCTCTCAGTCTTGTAGGGGAGAAGGTTATATAAGCTTCTTAAATACAGTTGGAAATCTGGAATGAGAAAGTATGTTTAGAGGACAGAGATCAGTAGAGTAGGGGATGATAGACATTTTCTGAGTAGCCAAGCCAGGAGACTTCTCGGAGGTGGAGACTTATAAGGAAGTATTCAAGGGTTACGCTCATGTCTGCAACTGCTTAGGTTTGAGCACAGTGCCTTGTACTTAGCAGGCCTCTAATTAAAGTCTGCTGGATGCATTTATGAATAAAAGAAAGTACAGTCTTTCCCCTAAAGAAATGTGGGTGATTATCTTGGGTGGTTCCTTTTACTAGATAGTAGCCTTCAGACAGAAAAGCAGTGTGTGGGTGGATCAGTACTGTCATCTTTGGATATGAAGAATAGCAGAGTCTATTGCAGGGGAGGTGTGGGTTCCAAAGTCAGAAGCTTAGTACCAGACAGATAATGTAAATGAATGATGCCAGAGCCAGATTTGCAAGCAAACCCTCGCCGTGTTTGGCAGTAACACGTTCTCCGCTGTGTGCACACGAGTAGCCACAAAAAATGATGTCTGCTTTTTTCTCTGACCTGTGGTTCTCTTGGTCTGTGATTTTCCAACTTTTCATAGGAGCCATGGGTACAAGAAGTACTTTTTTCTTTACTCTAAGAAAAAAAGAAGCCCAGGCTTGAAGATAAAGGCGCTCACCGTTGCTTCCTTCTCAGGCAGGCAGCAGAGCCGGGTGGGGAGAGCCGTCTGAAGGGGGCACCGCTCCTTCGCTCCAGCCATGCTGCTCGTGCAGGAATGGGGCCTCCGGCTTCCCAGGTCTCCCAGTTTTTCCCGAGATGCTGGCAATTTAGATTAGCAACTTGTGTTTGATTTAGGGATACACCTAGAGATGTCTTCACCCTGTGTTTCAGATTTAGTTGGTAGATAAACCTTAGATTTCCATCTGTGCTCCTTTCCTAATCAGCTAGAAAAAGGAAGAGTAAGGAAAGGTCTTTAGGTATGCAGCTGATCACCTCAAACTTCATTAGCTCTTTCTTCAGATCTTTTTGAGAATTTGATGAGCATGTTTATGGACCTTTCTCCCTGGAAAAGAATACACGTATGTTCATGCGTGCACAGTTTTGCATAGAGTCTGAGAGGTTTTTCAGGTTCTATGTTAAGAGCCCCTCCTCTTAGTAGGAAGAATGTTACTTCTGAAACCATGAATCCTACCTTTTTCTGTGGACAGATGGCTTTCAGTCCTGTCATTGCTTTCGCCATGTTTTCTTACGCCTCTGCCTGCGTGGAAAGTTGTCTTTCTCTCTGTGCACTTTGTATTTTGTGAAAACATTTTACATTAAGAGCATTTTAACAGTTTTTAAGAGCTTCTATTTAAGTCCTCCCCCCACACTGATCATACTTTCAAAACTTTGATATTTGTAAATAAAAGTAATACAATAGTTAAGAAACTTTTACAGCTCTCTTTTCCTATGAACAACCTTGGAAACAGGTTTGTATGATTTTAAAGAGTCAGCCCTATCCATCCTTTTACTTCTAAGCAGTTCTACAGTTAACCTCTTATATACAGAGTAACCTATTTCTCCTTTTATTGTTTCCAATAGTAAATTATAAATTACTTTATAATAAATAAAGTAATAAAATATCTTTTCTCTTGACTGGGAAGTCAAGCATTTTAGAATCTACTGAAAATAAAATCTACCACGAATAATGTCTTTGTCATGGACTATAACTGAGGTCCAGAATGATGGCAGGAAAGAGGAGAGTGTTGATCCCCCTTTATGATTTCTGTTCCTTTTCATTTCCTTTCTCTTCCAGTGCTAGACATCAGCATGCTCTCCTCCCAAGATGTGGTCCGCATGCTGTTGTCACTGCAGCCCTTTCTCCAAGATGCCATCCAAAAGAAGCGCACGGGCAGGACCTGGGAGAACATACAGCATGTGCAGGGACCACTGACCTGGCAGCAGTTCCACAAAATGGCAGGACGGGGAACCTATGGTAGAATCTCTTCCCTGTTTCAATTCCTTCTTAATTTTTTTTGTTCCATAAAAGCTAGCTTTAGTTACTTTCAAGCCCTAGCTTCACTGACGAAGTAGAATCTTTTTCTCCATGACTATTAAATTTCATAATCTTTTTTCTTTCCTAAAGGCAGTTTGGAGTTCAGTTTTCTAAGCATCTTTGGCAGAATCCACGTCAATGAGGAAAATAATCCTTAAATAGAGTATTCATTAGATTTTCCTCATCTTCCTGATCCTCATTGTACTTCCATCTGGATGAACTTCTGAACTAGTTCTGTCAACTTCTTCCTAGTCAGGATTATAATGCTTAATTTAAAGGAAATGATGTAGTGCTGCTTGGAAAACTAACTTTAACTTGTTCTAATCTGCCCTCTGATCTTATTGGACCTTTCTAAGCGCGTTCTGACTCACTGAAATGAGGTTCTTCATTGGGGGTCATGTAATTAGAGGATTTGAAGAATACTTTTGAGTGATCCTGTCAACCTACGAGGAAATTTCTGATGCCAGAATTAAGACTAATGCAGCAAGAACTTCTAAGTTGTCCAGGTTGTGGGAAACAGACTTGCAAGCACCTTTCTAACTGCCTTATTGTTACAGGTTCAGAAGAATCTCCTGAGCCGTTGCCCATTCCCACTCTGCTGGTAGGCTATGACAAAGACTTCCTCACCATCTCACCATTCTCTTTGCCATTTTGGGAGAGGCTGTTGTTGGACCCATATGGGGGCCACCGTGATGTTGCCTATATTGTGGTGTGTCCAGAAAATGAGGCCTTGCTCGAAGGAGCCAAAACTTTTTTCAGGGACTTGAGCGCCGTATATGAGGTGAGAATGACATGAAAATCATTTTTGTGATTTGAGTCCTCAGATTGTTTCTAGCTATGACTAAATTTTAAAGAACAAGTATCTTCAAGGTAGATCTCAAAGAAAATTTGCCAATAGTTGGAGGATAAAGGAGAGAATTAAATTGGCAAGTTTTCCTGGAAGTTAATTGCTTTCCCCTCTTGGCTTTACATTTTGTTAGATTTAGAAGACTTTGCTCTGCCAGCCTTACCACACATCTTACAATTCTGTCAGCTGTTTTTTTCCTCATTTATGTGCTTGAGTTTAAAAGTTTTGCTTACCAGGGGGTGTTCTGGCTGTTCAGAAGGTGACCTTTACCAAAAGAAAGCACATCTCTTTGGAGGGGGGGGGTCCTGAAAACAGTATAAAAATGTTTACCTTGAAGATTTTTGAATCAAAAGATAAATTTAATGAATCATGTCCCTGTTGTGTATTTAACACTACATTCATCTTAATACTAAAATTTTGATACAGATTAATAATGTAATAACCATAATAATTTAAAAGCCGGTAGATCATTTTATCTATTTAGTACACAAATTACTGTTACTATTGAAAAATTAGAATCATGAGTATCTCTGAAGGGTAAGTGCCACATTTTTTCTGCCAAAATATATGTACACTAAATTCTTCGTATCTTATACTTCTAATATCTTTATTTTTGGCAAGATTAAATGAAATTAGTATTTATGAAGAACTGTTACAGGCATATTATAAACATTACAAAAGTGTTTGTTAAAGAAGATGCCAAGTAGAATTTCTAAAATATTTCATAACGGAACATTCACTATCTGGAAATGGATGGGCACACATGAAATAGCAAACTTACGTGTTGCTACAAAGAAGTGAGGAGATGCTAATGTATGAGGTAATAGCATCAGTTAAGCCCCTAAAGGAACCCTTAGATACAGTAATTTCTGTACAGTGCCTGGCCCATGGATGTGTAATGCTATTAAATCATAAGGACCATAACACAGAAAACTTGTCTAAGCGATTTTTTTAAAGCCCAGCTCTTCTCTTGCATGAAACTTTGAAATGAGTTACAAAACATAAAAGCATTGCTGGATCTTTTTAGAGCCTAATGACTTTACTAGGATTGCTCATTTGGCGGTAGTACACACCTGGTTAAGAAGAGTGTGTGCTAGGGCGCGCGCCTGGGTGGCTCAGTCGGTTAAGCGACTGCCTTCGGCTCAGGTCATGATCCTGGAGTCCCGGGATCAAGTCCCGCATCGGGCTCCCTGCTCGGCAGGGAGTCTGCTTCTCCCTCTGACCCTCCTTCCTCTCATGCTCTCTGTCTCAAATAAATAAATAAAATCTT